ACCTCTCGAAGCACCTCACCACGCACGTGCACAACGCCCGCTAAGTCCTCCCCCCGCCAGCGCCGTCCCCTTTACCATCTTTTCATACCTCTATAGTTAATGACCGAGTCATGTTATTGTAACGGCAAATTTTAATATTTTTTGTAAAGAGTTTTTTAAAGTTTACTACATTATTGTGGATATATCTAAGAAGGTCTAATTAGAAGTCTACATAACTTTTTATTTTCTAAGGTGATCGTATAGTTTATATAATAATTTTCGGATATTTATTTTATAGGAAATATATGAGAACGAGGTTTTCGTTACCTCTCCAGATAAATGATGCACACGACTGTCAAATAATCGTACAGCAATTCCATGCGTTAGGTTATTGTTTTCATGATGACGATTTGCGTTTTTGGTTCTGTTTAGGTTACATGGAGCTTTTAATTTATTTAATATCTATAATTGATATGAATTGAGTTACCTTGCGTCTTTTTAAGACTTGTTTGCGGCAATTTTATTTAATTAAACCCAGTCAGGGGCCCTAAGGATCACTGAATGTTTTGATAAGTTGTAAAGAAGTTAATTTGCCATATATTTGTGTGCACACAATACGTTATGATAAGATTGATAACTCATTCCATTGAAGGGAAACCTAGGAAAATTGTAGTGGTGTCGATAGGTTAGTAGGAGAATGCAAAAAAGCTGTGATTCATACGATTAAGACCAGTCAACAAGATTTAGAACATCGAAAAAATGTTTTATGTAACGTAATTTTTAATATTATTAACGTTTAGATATAAATGAATAATAGATTTAAGAAATCTCTCTGTGCCAAAACGCGTACCTCATAAAAATAAACAATGTAGATAAATTAATTGTGTAGAATTGTTTATGGTATACACATTTTGTTTTAGATTTCATTGTTACAGGAACACTTGCAAAATTCATTTATTAAAATAGTTTTGATCCCTTGAGTATTCAGTATAGATAAAAAAGTAGTATCTGTATAGATAAAAAAGTATATAATTTCAGACAAACTGTCAATCCTAATAAAGTACCAACACTAGCTCGCGTCGTTGCATTGCTCCGATATTTTTTAAATACTAATACTGCCATTATTGTGATATTATTTGTACGACTGTAAATTATGAGATACATTTTAAACGGGAGTAGGAAATCGCGTAATATCGGTTTTAATTCATTTGTGACACGCATCGATTAAATATATAATTAATGTATAATTTTAGAGATTTTTTTACAGAAAAATCTGTTTATTTTTTTCCATATTTTTTTTTATTAATAATCTTTTACTTGCAGTTATCATGTACCATTATTGTTTGTTCTTCCGTAAAACAAAAGCTAACTCGTGTCTTAAAATGTTCTCATAATTTACTTTTTAATATACATTAAACAATAGAAATACTATTTTATTGCAAAATATTTTAATGTCTCAAAGACAAATTACAAGGTCAATTAAAATAATATATAGGATGATTAATTATTCTTATAT